TCGGAATCGCAGCAGGAGCATGACAGACACGTCAAGGAAGTGCTGAGCAGGCTACAGCAACATAGGCTTTACGCCAAGCTGGAGAAGTGCCAATTCGCCGTGACGGAGGTGGACTTCCTGGGCCACAAGTTGTCTGATAAAGGGCTCGCCATGGACAGCGCCAAGGTCCGAGCAGTGTTGGATTGGAAAAGCCCACGCAACCGGAAGGAGGTCCAACGGTTTGTCGGCTTTGCGAACTTCTATCGCAAGTTTATCAAAGGCTTTGCCATGCAGACAGCGGCCATCACGGACACGCTCAGCTCCAAGAAAAAGAAGTTCATCTGGACAGAGCAGGCGGAGCAGTCCTTTCAGGCACTCAAGCCGCCTCTTCGCGTCGGAAGGGCAACTGCTTCATGTCAACCCCAGCAAGCCGATGAGGGTGGAGACAGACGCTCGGACAGAGCCGTGGGAGCAGTCCTGCTGCAGAAGGACCCGCAGGGGGTTTGGAGGCCGGGAGCGTTTTACTCAAGGAAGCTCAGCAAGTCCGAACAGAACTACACCATCTGGGACAGGGAGTTGCTGGCCATTCATGCAGCGGTCAATGCGTGGCGGCAGGTCCTGATCGGCGCCAAGCCCTCGGTGCAGGTCTGCATGGACCACAAGAATCTAGAGCACTGGCGCACGGCACAGTTCCTGGAACCAGAGGCAGATACGTTGGGCTGAGTTCTTTGCGACTTCGACTTCCGAATAGAGTATGTCCCGGGGACACCAACATCATGGCGGATGCTCTCTCCCGTAAGCCGCAGTATCTGGAGGAGGCAACGCCAGCGGCCGCCATGCACATCTTCGCACCGACAGTGTGGGCGTGCACGGCGGCAACAGTTGACCTGGAGGCGGTGCGACGAGCGTTGCAGGATGACTCCTTCGCGCAAGCAAAGATGGCAGAGGCGCACAGGGGCACGGCAGCGACCGACGAGTTCCAGCTGCGAGATGGTTTGCTCATCCGTAAAGGGGCCATCTACGTGCCGGGAGACGAACTTCGCGCCAAGGTACTGCAGCAGCTGCACGACGCGCCCACTGCCGGGCACTTTGGCAAGGAGAAGACGGTGGAATTAGTAGCCAGAGACTTCTGGTGGCCAGGAATGAGAGGGGAAGTCGCGGACTACGTGGCGAGGTGTGACACCTGCCAGAGGGCCAAACCAGTGCACAGACCGCCGGCCGGATTGCTGGAACCGCTGCAAACTCCGCTCGAACCATGGGAGAGAGTGGCCCTGGACTTTGTCACGGATCTGCCCAGCTCGAGGGGCAAGACGGCTGTGCTGGTGGTGGTGGACTTGTTCTCCAAGATGGCACATTTCATTCCGTGTGCGAAGGTGGCCACGGCGGAACAAACCGCCAAACTGTTCATAGACCACGTGTTCAAGGTTCACGGTCTGCCGCGGTCTATTCTGTCCGACCGAGGGCGACAGTTCATCTCGAACTTCTGGCAGAGGCTGATGGGCTTCCTGAACGTCAAGATCAACCTGGCGTCGGCTAGACACCCGCAGACCAATGGGCAAGCGGAGCGGGTCAATGCCATCATGCAGCAGTACCTGAGATGTTATGCGAATCAACAGCCTGCGACGTGGGTGGATTACCTGCCTCTCGCCGAGTTCGCCTACAACAACACGAAGCACGTGTCCACGGGGGTCACGCCGTTCTTCGCCAACAACGGGAGGCACCCCAGAACCTTCCCGGGACTGGAAAGAATGGGGAGGGGAGCCGCAGACAGCAGATGCATTCGCGCCGGAGTTGCAGGAGGTCCACGATCAGCTGCGGCGGCACCTGGAGCTGGCTAAACACGCATACAAGGTACAAGCGGACAAACACAGAAGGGTTGGCGAAGAGATCCATGTGGGAGACTGGGTCTGGTTAGCAGCCCACGCAGTGCCGGCCAGGTCGTTGGCGAAGAAGAAACTAGGGCATAAACAACTGGGGCCCTACCAAGTCGAAGAACGGGTCAACCCGGTGGCTTTCAGGCTGGCTCTTCCGGAGGGTTCCAGAATGCATCCGGTGTTCCACAGATCGGTGCTCACTCCATACAAGGCACCTCACAGGTTTCAGGAACCAGGAACGGCACCGGGTCCGCTCCGAGAGAGAACCGGGCAGGGGGGAGTGGCACGGGAGGAGCGCATCAACGAAGTCACGGAGATTTTGGACTCCAGATGGGGGGGAAGAGGGGGTAGAATACCTTCTCGCCAAGGAGGGCACCCCGGCCAGTGCCAACAGCTGGGTGCCGGGCTACGCTTTAGACGAACCTCTGCTCAAAGAAGAGTTTCATGCCCTCTTCCCACATAGGCCAATGCCAGCAGACTTTTTCGACGACTGGCTTTTCACGCCCACACTTTCAGCCAGCACGCTCCGGGGGTTCGACTCGGACGAGGAACCGACACGAGACGCCCGTTCCCTGGAGGGGTCACCCTCGGGATCTGCTTCAGAACCCTCGTATTGGTGGGATGATCGACCAGAGGAGCAGTTCCGCAGAAGGTGGCTGGAGGGTCCAGGACGAGCAACGTCTCCAGAAGGTAACGAGGGAGAGACGGACATGGACGTGTTCGGGGACGACCCGGGGCTCGAGCACGGCGGCACACAGAAGGCAGCGGACGTCACCCCCCCCCACGAGAGCAGGGCGGAAGAACCGGACGGCTTCCGATGGCGGCCCGCCACGGGAAGCGAACTGTATCCGACATTCGTCCCCTGACACGGCAGCACCCAGATCCCGCGACCGGAAGGAGGGGAGGGGGAAGAGGGGGCTTCGAGGGGGGGATGGATGTCAGGGGTTCAGGAGCAGAGGCAAGGGCAAGGGAGGAAACAGAGAGCGAGGGGGAGGAGGCAGAAGAAAAGATGAGTGATGACGATGACCCGAGATCTCCGAGTCTTTCCAGTGAATCAGAAGATTCACAGAAAGGAGCACCAGTGGCCAGGGCAAGGGGGGAGCCTAGGGGGACGCCCCAGGAAGATAGAGCCAGAGGGGACTCAGAGGGGAGCAGTTGGAAATCGGGACCAGCGCCACCGCCAGAGAGCAGGGAAGAGGAAGGGAGCCAGGGATCAAGCGCTGGCAGCTCACAACAGGGGGGAGGGCACGAGTCAGGAGTGGCCACACCTCCATCGGGGAGCGAAGAAACGGTCAGACGGAAGGTGGAAGGTTGGGCGCGCGCGCCAAGTTCAAATGCACAGGAAGGTGGCACAGTAGGCAGCCCGGAAAGGGAGCCAGGTCCCAAAGCCCGCCGAAAGGAGGGAGAAGAGTCAGGGGGGTCAGCGTCAGCGTCAGAGGAATCCCGGAAAGAAGAGACCCCAGGGGGCAGAGGGACCCAGAGAAGAACAGTCAGGCGGAAAAGGTGGAGCAGGGCTAGGATATTAAGTTGGTGTACAAGGGGCGGAGACTCAGACGGAGCTTCGCCGGTCTAACCATGAGACGTAGAGTTGCACGGAGCAGTTTGAGAATGGAAACTGTAACTCAATAAAGACTTTTGTTTAATGATCGCTGGCTAGCGTGATCCTCTGTGAGCTAGGATCTGGAAGCAGCTCTGACAATAATCTTCTCTGCAATATTTTGCATAATCATCCTTACAAAACTTCTTGCAGTCCTACTAGCGTAACCTGTTTATTACAATTGCTTTTCAAATAGTTCAAATAATTACTCAAGTCCTCTGAGAATCTCTGGTCCCGCAGGTTTCTGATCCTTCCTGTCATCTTATCTAATTCTGCATAGTCCATTAATTTTGTCTGCCATTCTTCTTTCATCAGTAATTCTTCTTGTTTCCATTTCTGTGCCAATAATACTCTTGGGGCTGTTGTTGCATATAAAAACAATTTACTATCCTGTCTATTAATATCCTCCCCTACAATGCCAAGTAAAAATGCTTCTGGTTTTTTTATAAATGTATATTTCAACATCTTTTTCATCTCATTATATATCATTTCCCATAAGCTTTTCACTTTCATACATTCCCACCACATGTGATAAAAAGATTCTTCTTTTTCTTTACATTTCCAACATTTATTACTTGTTTTATACATTTTGGCTAATTTGTTGTGAGCATTTTAATGAGGAGTGAGGAGAGCCATGCTCTTCACCTTGAGCTGCTTGGAGGAAAAATATAAATGCAGCAAAATAACTGCAACATGCATGTGTGCATGAGTGCCCACACAGAGTGCTTTGAGCACTAACTGAAAAAACATTTTTATAAATACTTGTTGGCATTATATCAATAACCTCAGATATGCAGATGACACAACTTTGATGGCAGAAAGTGAGGAGGAATTAAAGAACCTCTTAATGAGGGTGAAAGAGGAAAGCGCAAAATATGGTCTGAAGCTCAACATCAAAAAACCGAAGACCATGGCCACTGGTCCCATCACCTCCTGGTAAATAGAAGGGGAAGAAATGGAGGCAGTGAGAGATTTTACTTTCTTGGGCTCCGTGATCACTGCAGATGGTGACAGCAGTCACGAAATTAAAAGACATCACCTTGCCAACAAGGGTCCGTATAGTTAAAGCTATGGTTGTCCCAGTAGTGATGTATGGAAGCGAGAGCTGGACCACAAAGAAGGCTGATCGCCGAAGAATGGATGCTTTTGAATTCTGGTGCTGGAAGAGACTCTTGAGAGTCCCATGGACTGCAAGAAGATCAAACCTCTCCATTCTGAAGGAAATCAGCCCTGAGTGCTCACTGGAAGGACAGATCCTGAAGCTGAGGCTCCAAGACTTTGGCCACCTCATGAGAAGAGAAGACTCCCTGGAAAAGACCCTGATGTTGGGAAAGATGGAGGGCACAAGGAGAAGGGGACGACAGAGGACAAGATGGCTGGACAGTGTTCTCGAAGCTACCAGCATGAGTGTGACCAAACTGCGGGAGGCAGTGGAAGACAGGAGTGCCTGGTGTGCTCTGGTCCATGGGGTCATGAAGAGTCGGACACGACTAAACGACTAAACAACAACAAAAGTATTATATGAGGAAAGACTAATGAGAAAGCTCTGTACCTTACTGTAGCAGCTGCCTGGGGAGTAGCTCATAGCAGCACTGTAAGAACCAGAGCTGCTACCCGACAGAGCCTGGAGCTGAGGGCTGTAGCCGGACATGCAGCTGGAGGCAAATTTTGGGCTGGCACTAGGCGAGCGGGAAGGGCTGTAACTCAGCACACTCTGCCCCTGGATGGGAGGAGAAGGCGTCGAAGGAGGAGTTTTCTTTGGCGTCAGCTCACGGGGTGGAGTAGTCTGGACAGCTGAAATTGAAATTTTTAAATATATTTTTAAGCTTTAGAAAGTTTCTGCACCTTTACACAGCCCAACAGGAAAACAACAAGAATCCCCCGACAGCATATGAATCAATCTGGCTAACCTGATTCAAAAATACACACTCACACCCCGCTCACACACAAATACAATTCTCACTACAGCCAACCAAAGACAACCAAGCACACCCTAAGCCATACCCAACCTCTCTCACCACCAAGGAAATACAACAAGTGAACAGTAAGAGAACCTATACAAGTAACCCTGACACAACCCCTCACACAAAGTAGAATAATAGAAGCATAACCATACCACACCACTCACCCCTTTCTTCTTCATCTTCCTAATTATTTAAACCAATTCATAAACCAAGAACTTATACACTCACCATTAATAATGAAATATACGGTATGTTGTAGATATTTTTCCACATTTATTATGCTTTTTTTGTGATATACAAATAACATGAGAAAACTTGTTATGTTTATTGGTAAAACATTATTCTTATTTATAAAACCTAATAAAAAAAGAAAAGAAAGAAAGCTTCTGCACATCCCACAGGATCGTATATATATGTCAAGGAACTCAGCCATTTTATTTGCTTTTTTAATTTTCTGCTCTTCGTGGTGTGCGTTGCAGAGAAAGCTTGGCGGGCAACAACAGGCTCCTGGCGGCACACCAAGCACAGCTACATGTAAGATCAGGTAAAAAGGGACCCCTGACCATTAGGTCCAGTCGTGGCCGACTCTGGGGTTGCGGCACTCATCTTGCTTTACTGGCCGAGGGAGCCGGCGTACAGCTTCCCGGTCATGTGGCCAGCATGACTAAGCCGCTTCTGGAGAACCAGAGCAGCACACGGAAACGCTGTTTACCTTCCCGCTGGAGCGGTACCTATTTATCTACTTGCACTTTGACGTGCTTTCGAACTGCTAGGTTGGCAGGAGCAGGGACCGAGCAACGGGAGCTCACCCCGTCGCAGGGATTCGAACCGCCAACCTTCTGATCGGCAAGTCCTAGGCTATGTGGTTTAACCCACAGCGCCACCCACATCCCATGAGATCAGGTACTCCCACCCTATTGCCTTCCCCTTGCCCTCCTCAACAAGATGATCTGTCAAATACATGACTTTCCCCACAGAAAATATCAAGTACACACCACTCCCATTGTGTCAGTATTTGCACGGGTGCTCCAAATGTTTTGAATAAGTTACTTGAATTGCAGTTGTTTTTAAATCTGCATTCCTACCTGCATTCTGCAACCCCAGGAGTGTCTGCTGTCCAGGACTCATCACCAAGCTGGTGGGGGCCATAGTATATTTAAAATACCTCCAGAAGTCAAATAAGGCATTAAGGCTGAACAAAGACGCAAATGCAAGTTCTAGAACAAAACAGAAGATTACAATGAGAGTTTGTGAACGGCATGAGACTGGTCACAATTTACACAGCCAGCCACTCATCGGTTTTATCGTACGAAAGATGCTGGTTTCACCAGGTAATCGGGATTATCAAAATATTTGAACAATCAAGAAATTCAGTATGAAAAGTTTCGGTCTGTAGCAGAAAAGGTACATGGAAATTCCAATCTCACTGAATTTATGCAGTTGCCTGGCAACCAGAGCAGTCAAGGGCAATTAATACTTTATAATTTGTCACATATATATGCACTTAGCAACTCACAGAAATGGTCTAACCAGAGGTAGCACCAGTCACAGATGATGGCACTTATAATGCTGAACTATTTTTAAGGGAACAAAGGGGAAGAAATTTGCACCACCGAGGTGGGGGGGGGGGGGAGGCTGGAGGGAGGAGAGGTGCAGCCCTGAAGCTAACTCCTGAAACACAGACCAGATTCTTTTTTTTAAAGATATTTATTAAAGTTTCAAAATGTTACAAAAAGAAAAAGAAGAAAAAAAGAAAAAAGAAAATACAAAGTACAGAAAAATAAAAACAGTTAAAAACAAATCAATCTTTCCATATCTTATCTTTCGTTTACTTGTTTCCCTGACCTCCTCACACCTCCCTTTTTTGTTTTCCAGTTCAATTAGTTAATTCAGCAAATCCTTTCCCTCTTTGTTTTTATCTTAATCCTTTATCTTAATATATTATAGCTTTAGATTATCACCTGTTAACAATCCATTTTTACATTTTCCTTTATAACATTGCTGCTAAAAACCACTTAACTTCATTCCGACATCATTCTAACATTCATAAATTTTGCAGTACAGTGGTGCCCCGCAAGACGAATGCCTCGCAAGACGGAAAACCCGCTAGACGAAAGGGTTTTCCGTTTTTGAGCTGCTTCGCAAGACGAATTTCCCTATGGGCTTGCTTCGCAAGACGAAAACGTCTTGCGAGTGTTGCGATTTTTTTTGCTCCCCCCCCCTTTTTCTAAGCCGCTAAGCTGCTAATAGCCTTTTAGCCGCTAAGCCTTTAATAGCTGCTAAGCCGCTAAACCGCTAATAGCGCTAATCCGCTAATAGGGTTGCTTCGCAAGACGAAAAAACCGCTAGACGAAGAGACTCACGGAACGGATTAATTTCGTCTTGCGAGGCACCACTGTATTTCTGTAAATAGTCTTTAAATTTCTTCCAATCTTCTTCCACCGACTCTTCTCCCTGGTCTCGGATTCTGCCGGTCATTTCCGCCAGTTCCATATAGTCCATCAGCTTCATCTGCCATTCTTCCAGGGTGGGTAGATCTTGTGTCTTCCAATACTTTGCAATAAGTATTCTTGCTGCTGTTGTGGCATACATAAAGAAAGTTCTATCCTTCTTTGGCACCAATTGGCCGACTATGCCCAGGAGAAAGGCCTCTGGTTTCTTCAGGAAGGTATATTTAAATACCTTATTCATTTCATTATATATCATCTCCCAGAAAGCCTTAATCCTTGGGCACGTCCACCAAAGGTGAAAGAATGTACCTTCAGTTTCTTTACATTTCCAACATTTATTATCGGGCAAATGATAGATTTTTGCAAGCTTGACTGGTGTCATGTACCACCTGTATATCATTTTCATAATATTCTCTCTTAAGGCATTACATGCCGTGAACTTCATACCTGCTGTCCATAACTGTTCCCAGTCAGCCATCATTATGTTATGTCCAACATCTTGTGCCCATTTAATCATAGCAGATTTCACCGTTCATCCTGAGTATTCCATTTCAAAAGCAAGTTATACATCTTTGACAGAATCTTGGTTTTGGGATCTAACAGTTCTGTTTCCAATTTTGATTTTTCCACCTGGAAGCCAATTTTCTTGTCCAAATTGTATGCCTCCATTATCTGATAATAATGAAGCCAATCTCGCACTTTGTTTTTTAGTTTTTCAAAGCTCTGCAATTTCAATTTATCTCCCTCTTGTTCCAAAATTTCCCAATATTTCGGCCATTTGGCCTCCATATTGAGCTTTTTCTGAGCCTTCGCTTCCATCGGTGACAACCACCTTGGGGTTTTATTTTCAAGTAGATCCTTATATCTAGAGATTGCAGGAAGCTAGTGTTGTGTCTGCACCTGAACATGTTTACTCAATATGGATAGAACCTAGACAGAGGGATAAGCAAGCATGGGGACAGCAAGGTGGCTTTAAACCCTACAATACGTCCATCTTTAAATATCTGCAGGGATGTCAAATGGAGCAAGCTTTTCCCCTGCTCCAGAGAGGAGGACTCAAACCAGTGGACTCAAAACTACAAGAAAGTTGTAGTTCGGCTAAACATTAGGAAAAACTTCCAGACGGTAAAAGCTGTTCAACAGTGGAATGGACTCCCTCGGAAGGTGGGGGGACTCTCCGTTATGAGGTTTTCAAACAGAGGCTGGATGGCCATCTGCCAGGGATTCTTTAGCTGTGATGACAACACTGCAGAGGGTTGGGCTAGATGACCCTTGTGGGGCCCTTCAAACTCTACAATTCTATGAAAAAACGAAACCCAGAGAATCACCTCCTCACTTACTTTTTCTCTCCCTAAAGGTATAAATGCAGAGACATCCCCAGTCCATTCAACCAACTTCTACATTTTTCTGGAGTTTCAAAGTACTTACCAACATACCATAGTAACCAGCACGAAATGTTATAATAGGAACTGATTAGTTTTCCAGACCTGGGGGGGCGGGAAGAGGGAGACAAAGGTCATTCATAGCCCCACAGCATGGAAGCACCAACTACTTTTCAGTGATTCACAATAAATAGCTCACTCCCCGTGATGAAGATACAATGGAGAGACAACAAGTTCCCCCAGGATGAACTTTATGGCTGGATTTCCAGCACCTCACAGTGACCTCCCTGTTTCTCTCCTCCAAATCTGAGCTATGAGAGATTTGTGTCTTCCACCCAACAGTCATCTGCCAAAGCAGAGCAGACACATTTACTCATTAATAACCCCTTTAAAATTTAATAGCATTTTAGAGCGTCAGAAAGCACTTCCACGAACATTCTCTCTGTCATTTTTAAAACAGCCAGATACAGCCATCCCCTATATGGCTGACACCAAGAGAAAGTGTCTTGAAATCCTTGATGAATTCATGGGATGATGAACGATGAATTCATGGGAGAAGCGGTGAACATTTATCTCACTGATGACTATGGGCCACAAGAAACCATCAGCAAGGTTGCAGAATGAAGTTGGGGGGTTTGCCTCTCTTACATTTCAGTATAAATCATCCCAGCCATGGACAAGTTCAGAAGTCCCCATGCCAAGACAACTTTCTTTGCTTCAGTTTCTTTCCTCATCTCGATGGTCCTGTCAATGAGGGAAGCAGCTGGACCTTGTTCCCCCTTCATCGTCTGGAAAGAGCAGAGGGACAGTTAGTTATATGAGAACATTTACTTAACGTTCAAAGAAATTTCAGTGCTAATTCAAGTGCACCTTCTCCTGTTTACCCCAGGGTTGCCCAAAGCTGTGCGACCAGATGTCCCCTTCTTCCCTCGAAATCTTCTCAAAATGGTCTCTCAGCCTTCTACAGCAGGGGGGGGGGGCAATGGGGGCTGCTGGGAGAGGAAGGGGAAAGTCCGACTATACAAGCAGAAATTGCTTTCATAGAATTGTAGAGTTGGAAAGGACCTCCAAGGCTCACTTAGTCCAACCCCTTGCAATGCAGGAATCACAGCTATTACACTTGCAGATGGGCACTGCGGGATATCAGTTGTGCTTCCTTTAAAAGGTAAAGGTAAAGGGATCCCTGACCGTTAAGTCCAGTCATGGACAACTCTGGGATTGCGGCGCTCATCTTGCTTTACAGGCCAAGGGAGCCAGCGTTTGTCCGCAGACAGCTTCCAGGTCATGTGGCCAGCATGACTAAGCCGCTTCTGGTGAACCAGAGAAGCGCATGGAAATGCTGTTTACCTTCCTGCCGGAGCGGTACCTATTTATCTACTTGCACTTTGACGTGCTTTCGAACTGCTAGGTTGGCAGGAGCAGGGACTGAGCAACGGGAGCTCACCCTGTCGTGGGGATTCGAACCGCCGACCTTCTGATCGGCAAGCCCTAGGCTCAGGGGTTTAGCCACAGTGCCACCAGCGTCCTTTACCTTTACCTTGAGCCAAATTTTATACTGCAAGCTCCTTTCCCTGCATTCTGCACACTGATGAAGCCATATAAATAAGTGGTAAAGAGAACACACTGAACTAACTACATCTGAAGCTCCTTTTCACAGTAAGTAAACATTATAGGTGCACTTCAGTTGTTTGTCGTCAGGGACTTAAAAGAGCCTTAGCCCACCAGTGACCTTCCTTTGGGCCGCATAGCTGCAAAGCAATTTTTCCCACCAACATTACAAGGGTCTCTGTTCTGCACCCAGTGTTAATTTTGTCCCTTTGTCTTATCCCAAATGTCTTAATGCCATTTACAGAAACACATTCATGGATTAAATTTTGTTTCTATTGAACACCACACCGCCCTGTGATCTTCAGGTGGCATGCAAATTTAATAAATAACAATAACAACATTAAGTTATTGGGCAGCTAATTAACACATTAAGTATTATTATTAGTTGCTTTACAGAAGGGAAAAAGCATTGAAACACCATGGAACAGTAAAAAATACAAGCAATTTAAAACCAGGGGAGTTTTAAAAGACAGAAAGATGCTTTCAACTGGAATCTTGGGGCACAGTTCCATGCAAATCATACACTCTTGTGATCATTATATTGTTATTTATACTCTGCTCCCCCCTCCCCGGAAATTTACAGATAAGAACAGCTAAAAACATGGGGGGGGGTGTCAATAATTAAAATACAATTAAAGACATACACAAGTTCTAGTAAAACATAGCTGAGTTGGTTAGAGTGTGATGCTGATAGCATCAAGGTTGCAGGTTCAGTCCTCGTATGGGACAGCTGCCTATTCCTGAATTGCAGAGGGTTGGACTAGATCAGGGGTCAGCAAACTTTTTCAGCAGGGGGCCGGTCCTCTGTCCCTCAGACCTTGTGGGGGGCCGGACTATATTTTGAAAAAAATTAATGAACAAATTCCTATGCCCCATAAATAACCTAGAGGTGCATTTTCAATAAAAGCACACATTCTGCTCATGTCAAAACACCAGGCAGGCCCCACAAAGAACCCAGAGATGCATTTGAAGTAAAAGCACACATTCTACTCAATAACACGCTGATTCCTGGACCGTCCGCGGCTGGATTGAGAAGGCGATTGGGCTGGATTCGGCCCCCGGGTCTTAGTTTGCCTACCCTAGATGATCTCCAGGGTCCCTTCCAACTCTACAATTCCACGATTCAAATAATTACAATAAAAACAGCATGCCGCCAGACCCCTCATTAAAACAGTCGGTTCCCAAAAGAACGTTGGAACACGTTAAATTATTTTTGTATGCCACAACTGCTACACGTATTTTGTTAGCTAAAAAGGGGAAAACCCAAGTATTACCAACGATAGAAGAATGGCAGATGAAGATGATGGATTTTTCGGAGCTAGCCAACCTAACCGGAAGAGTCCATGACCAGAAGGAGGAGGAGTATCAGGAAGAGTGGATTAAATTTAATGATTACTTAGTGAAATATGTTAAGTTAAATTAACTGAAAACAGCTTGAGGATACTTAATTGGCTTAGGGTTTTATTTATGTTAAGTGTCGAATTAATATGTTTAATTTCATAATGTGAAGATCTAAGGATGTTAATGTTTAAGTTAAATTTTATAAGAACTGTGATTTGGAAAACCGTTAAAAGGACATGCAATGAAATTCAACCAAGGGGAAGCGAGGAAGTCACTTAACAATGTTAACAAGTGTAATTTTTAATAAGGCTATGATTTATGTTTGTTTCTCTTATGTATTTGTTTATAATGTTGTGAAAACCAATAAAAAAGATTGGGGGGGGGGAAGAACGTTGGAACAGGAAGATCTCCTCCACCTGCAACGCGGAGGGACGACAAGGAGGGAGCCAGGCTGGCTTCTCTTGGCAGGGAGTTCCACAGCCGCCTGGGAGAAGCCACCACCGAGAAGGCCCTCTCCCGCGTCCCCACTGAATGGGCCTGGGAGGGTGGCAGGATTGAGACCAGGGCCTCCCCTGGCTGGATTCCCATGAGGGGAACACGGTCCCTCAGGCAACCTAACCCTGAGGCACTCCAGGCGCTGCTGGACTACAACTCCCATCATGCCTAGCTACTGGCCATGCTGGCTGAGGCTCATGGGAGTTGGAGTCCGGCAGCCTCTAGGGCCCCAGGGTTAACCGTTCCCGCCTCTGGGGGCCAACGGTAAATGGGGCCCCAGGGAGCGCATGCGCACCACTCACTCACCCCCAATTCAAAGGCAGAGCGACCCCCTCAACTTCCCCGCGCTCGTTTCCCCTCACTTACCCCGGCGGCTCCTCGCGCGGCTTCGTTTTTAAAGCGCGCATGCGCAGCGGGGCCTGCTCCTTTTTTAAAAAAAACCCAACCCTCTGACGACAGCAGAAGGGGATTGGCTCGTACCGATTGGAGGCGGGAGAAGACGGCGGAGGCGGGAGCTGTCGCCGGGGCGACGGAAGGGTGAAGGCGGCGGTTGGCGGTTGCTCTCGCGCTCGGCTCCGATTGGGTCGCATCTGTTTCCCTCCCCGCTCCCATTTCGTCACGACGTGGCCCCTCCCCTCCTCTATTAAGCCGGCCGGTCGCTTTCAAGTTTTGGCGGGAGAAACCGCTGAGGCGGAGCAAAGTTCTTTCTATACGTCTCTCATTATATTATCACTTTTTTAAAAAAATAATCTTTATTAATTTAAATTACACACATATAGAAAGAATTTACAATTTCATACTACAAAAAGAAAATAAAGAAAAAAATTAAGAAATAAAGAAGAAAATACAGAAAAAAGAAAGAAGAAAAAGCAGATTTACGTGCATAAAAAAACCTTAATCTTCCTAATTAATACTTAAATAAACACTTAAATAAAAAAGACTTCTGACAAAACGAGTCTTCCAATCATTCTCATTGTACTGTTTATACTGCCGGTTTTTTCACAGTTTTGTATTCTTTAATTTTGTTCCCCTCTAGACAGCCGACTGGACAGCAAAGATCCTCTAGCCCAACGCCCTGAAAATGCAGGAATCTTTTGTGGCGGCTCCCATAATTCTTTTTTTTTTTAAAAAGTATTTTTATTAACCATATCTATCATATGTTCAACTAATCAATTTGTGAATGTTTATTCAAAACCTGCCAAAGAGCCCAGTTCATTTTGTTGTCTTTTGAGATCGTTTCCAAAAAGTTCCCATTCTTCCTTGAAGTCACAGCTGTGCTTTTCACGCAGTTTGTATATCAATTTGGCCAGTTCTGCATAACTCATCAATTTTTCTTGCCACTGTTCTTTCGTTGGAGTTTCCTCATTCTTCCATCCTTGTGCTAACAAGACTCTTGCCGCTGTTGTAGCATACATAAATAAGCTCTTTATTTTTCTTGGCAGGTCTTGTCCTACAATCCCTAGCAAAAATGCTTCTGGTTTTTTTTTTACATACCGTATCTTTCGCTCTATAAGATGCACCAGACCACAAGACGCACCTAGTTTTTGGAGGAGGAAAACAAGAAAAAAATATTCTGAATCTCAGAAGCCAGAACAGCAAGAGGGATCGCTGCGCAGTGAAAGCAGCAATCCCTCTTGCTGTTCTGGCTTCTGGGATAGCTGTGCAGCCTGCATTTGCTCCATAAGACGCACACACATTTCCCCTTACTTTTTAGGAGGGAAAAAGTGAGTCTTCTAGAGCAAAAAAAAACGGTATGTCAATTTAAACATTTTTTTCAATTCATTATACAGTGGTGCCCCGCAAGACGAATGCCTCGCAAGACGGAAAACCCGCTAGACGAAAGGGTTTTCCGTTTTGGAGGTGCTTCGCAAAACGAATTTCCTATGTGCTTGCTTCGCAAGACGAAAATGTCTTGCGAGTTCCTGCGGGGTTTTTTTCCTCCCCCCCCCTTTTTCCCAAGCCGCTAAACCGCTTATCAGCTGATCGGCTAAGCCGCTTAACAGCTGATCGTTAAGCCGCTGATCAGCTGATCTTTAAGCTGCTTATCAGCTGATCTTTAAGCCGCTTAACAGCTGATCGCTAAGCCGCTTATCAGCTGATCCGCTAAGCCCGCTAAGCCACTAATACTGTAGCGCTAATCCGCTAAACCGCTAATGGGCTTGCTTCGCAAGACGAAAAAACCCGCAAGACGAAGAGACTCGCGGAACGGATTCTTTTCGTCTTGCAAGGCACCACTGTATATCATTTTCGAATTTTTAAAAACTTCTCTACATTCCCACCACATATGGTAAAAAGGTTCCCATCATTCTTAACAGCGTGTCATGCTGGGACTTGGGGGCCTAACAACATCTGAAGTGCTCCGCGAGCCTGTGAGTGCCTGGAGGCGGTTGGAGGACGGATGGTGGCTAACAGATTGAGGTTGAATCCTGACAAGACAGAAGTACTGTTTTGGGGGGACAGGGGGCGGGCAGGTGTGGGGGACTCCCTGGTCCGGAATGGAGTAACTGTGTCCCTGAAGGACCAGGTGCGCAACCTGGAGGTCATTTTGGACTCACAGCTGTCCATGGAGGCGCAGGTCAATTCTGTGTCCAGGGCAGCTGTTTATCAGCTCCATCTGGTATGCAGGATGAGACCCCACCTGCCCGTGGACTGTCTCGCCAGAGTGGTGCATGCTCTGGTTATCTCCCACTTGGACTACTGCAATGTGCTCTATGTGGGGCTACCTTTGAAGGTGACCCGGAAACTGCAATTAATCCAGAATGCGGCAGCTAGACTGGGGACTGGGAGCGGCCACCAAGACTGTACAACACCGGTCCTCAAAGATCTGCATTGGCTCCCAGGACGTTTCCGAGCACATTTCAAAGTGTTGGTGCTGACCTTGAAAGCCCTAAACGGCCTCAGAACAGTAGACCTGAAGGAGCGTCTCCACCCCCATCATTCTGCCCGGACACTGAGGTCCAGCTCCAAGGGCCTTCTGGCGGTTTCCTTCCTGCGAGAAGTGAGGTTACAGGGAACCAGACAGAGGGCCTTCTCGGTGGTGGCGCCCACCCTGTGGAACGCCCTCCCATCAGATGTGAAGGAAATAAGCAGCTATCCTATCTTTAAAAGACATCTGAAGGCAGCCCTGTTTAAGGAATTTTTAAATCCTTAATGCTGTATTGTTTTTAACACTTGATTGGGAGCCGCCCAGAGTGGCTGGGGAAACTCAGCCCGATGCGTGGGCTATAAATAAGATATTATTATTATTATTATTATTATTATTATTATTATTATTAAATACATGTGACAGACAAGCAAGCAAGCGTTCTCGATGGCGCACCAACAGAAATGGTACAAATTAGAGCCGCTCTGGGCAGCGGCACCCTTCTCCCATTTCCTATCGCCACGGTTCTGAGAATGATGCGAGAAAAAGGTTCTGTTGGGTCCTGGCCCACGGCTTGTGAGGCAAACTCTGGTCAACAATCAGTTGCCAGGGTACCATGTTGCCGCTGCCTCTTCAAACTCTTCACTTCCTCACCTGACATTTTGGCCCTTCGTGGTCCATGGCATTCCCCTTCCCATTCTTGTGGTGGATTTATTCACGTACCAGAGACCCCGTCGACACCGGCTCCCTGGAGGAATTTGAGTGCGAGGAGGAGGTGCCCGAGGAAGACGATGTCTGCTGGGCCCTGGGAGAAATTCTGCTTTATTACTGCCTGGCTGTAGCTGCTATAAGGATCATCTACATTGGTGCAGACTGGGTAATAAGTCTTTTATTAGCCGTATTCCTCTTGCGTGCGGCTGGAGGACAGAAGGGGAGCCCAAAGCGCTGTCTTGTTGAGCCTTTGGCTTCCAACAGTGGCCAGCTGGATGTCCAGAACTTTTATTTCCCTTCTCTTCCCTTCCCCTCCCCTTTTTATGAAGATCACCCGCTCTGAGGTAAAAGGTAAAGGGACCCCTGACCATTAGGTCCAGTCGTGGCCGACTCTGGGGTTGCAGCACTCATCTCGCTTTACTGGCTGAGGGAGCCGGAGTACAGCTTCTGGGTCATGTGGCCAGCAGGAGTAAGCCGCTTCTGGCAAACCAGAGCAGTGCATGGAAACGCTGTTTATCTTCCCACCGGAGTGGTACCTATTTATCTACTTGCACAGGTGTGCTTTCGAACTGCTAGGTTGACAGGAGCAGGGACTGAGCAACGGGAGCTCATCCTGTCGCAGGGATTTGAACCGCTGACCTTCTGATCGGCAAGTCCTAGGCTCTGTGGTTTAACCCACAGCGCCACCCGCGTCCCAATTAATAGGACCAATTCAGCCAGCTAGCCCTGGGGATTATCTGATTGATTTTTGAGTGTGAGTATCTGGAGGTGGTTGGAGGATGGATTGAGGTTGAATCCTGACAAGGTTCAAGAAGTATTGTTTTGGGGGGACAGGAGGCGGGCGGGTGTGGAGGACTCCCTGGTCCTGAATGCCTCCCACACGGATCACGTTCGCAACCTGAGCATCCACTGTACACATATCAATAATGGAGGATAGTTCTGTCATAGAATCCTAGAGTTGGAAGAGACCACAAGGGCCATGGAGTCCAACCCCCTGCCAAGCAGGAAACACCATCAGAGCACTCCTGACATATGGTTGTCAAGCCTCTGCTTAAAGACCTCCAAAGAAGGAGACTCCACCACACTCCTTGGCAGCAAATTCCACTGTCGAACAGCTCTTACTGTCAGGAAGTTCTTCCTAATGTTTAGGTGGAATCTTCTTTCTTGTAGTTTGGCTCCATTGCTCCGTGTCCGCTTCTCTGGAGCAGCAGAAAACAACCTTTCTCCCTCCTCTATGTGACATCCTTTTATATATTTGTCAATGGTTCCTAAATTATTCTAGCCAGGTGGAACCTCCATATCCAGGCACAGTGCAGCTCAGGATACCAGTTGCAGAGTAGCAACAATTCGAGCGCCGGTGGTGATGAGACACCCTTCTATAATAATAATAATAATAATAATAATAATAATAATAATAATTTTTTATTTATACCCCACCCTTCCTGATTCAAAAACCGGGCTCAGGGCAGCTAACAACAAATTTAAAACACTTTAAAACACTTAATTATAAGAGCAGCATAAAATATGGTATAAAAACATGAATAACAATAAAATCCCATATTTTCCGAGAACAGATCGTCCCGAAATGCGGTGGTGGAATTCAGCCATGCAAGAAGGTTAGATATACAAAAGGTAAATTTTAATTCATTTGCTGCAAAAAAAAGAGCATTTCTTATTAAGCAAAAGTCAAGGAGTAACTGGAAGTTTAAAAACAACCTGCTGTTTGCTTTGGAGGAGACAATTGCCACATACCCAACTGTCCTGTTTTAAGCAGGACATCCCGGAATCACAGAATCCTATCTTGAATGTTCAAAATAATTCTTTTAACCCATTATTGCTTTGTTCTTTTGTAAACTGCTTTGAGGGTTGTTTTTTTACCATCAAATGGTGTGTAAGCTGTAAGAAATATACTAAATAAGAATAGATCAAGTTGTGAGGCAATGGCTGAGAGCGTGTCGCTCTTTTTCCTTTCTTTTCCAAACTGCAGAAGATCCAAGTTTATTGCGCAACAGGTTCAAGACGAGATTGAACAGCCAGAAAGGGGTGACATAAACTTTTGAAACTTCCCTCCATGTCCCAGAATACAGTGCAAAATACATCCCAGTTACATCATGAATACATTAAGAAGAGGTTGAGTTACACAGATTACATCATGAATACATTAAGAAGAGGTTGAGTCACACAGGATTAACATATGGAGGAGGGAGGGGGGAATATGCAGAGCTGGAGATATGCGCAGATAAGCACATCCTGAGTACCTGATGAGAAGACAATGGTCCATGTATGCATGGTCTGCCACCTGGCCTTGCCCGGAGGAAAGGCTTGGCAGAGCGATTTGACAGGATTAGGGTCTTGACACCTTGCTTGAAGGATTATGGAGGACAGGGGAGGTGTCATGGAGTCCTAGAGAAATTGAGCAAATTGGCACGTTGATTTTCTGTGAATTTTATAGATTTTAGTCCCTTTTGACATTGACAATTGGAAATAAATGGATATATTGTAGCGAAGAAGGAGGTGAAGAATACATGCCCCCCCCCTTCCGTATCAGTCCCCCATTCGGAGATAGATTTGCATTAAAGTTCTGTAAGAACTTGCAAATCTTTTCTCCGCACCCTAAATCTCGGTGAAGGTAGGGGTACCCTGTGAGTGCGTGTCGCTCTTCACTGTCACCCAGTGAGTTTATAGTAGGCTGGGGATCAAGTACAAAACAGTGATCTATTTAAGAGGTGGATTAAACTAGGGTTGCCATATCCAGACAGAAAAGTTGTTGAACTTTTTTTTTTGGGCAAAGCCGTTCCGATTTGTTTTTAATTTTTTTGCCAAAATTCTAGAACTTTTTCTTAGTTTAGGCCAAAGTTGTTTGACGTTTTTGAGTTATTTTAGGGATGTCCAACCGGTCGATTGATTGAACCAGTTTCTGATTTGATCCCAGAATGTCCCCTGCTGGGGCATCCCTGTTTTCACTGGAGAAATGGTGGAGGGCACGGAATAGGATGTCCCTCTTTTCATTGGAGATACGTTGGAGGGTATGGCAGCATGGTGGCGATGCTCTTTGAGAGCCACTGAACTCAGGCGAAAATGGATGGTAGCCTTGCTATTTCTTCACTGCAGAAGTAACCCCCTCACCTCTCTCTCTCTCACACCTGATGCCTGCTAGTGTTGTAAACAAAAATTGCCCTTTTCCCTTATGGGGTATCCAAGAGCCCATATAGAGTCCTTACATAGGTTCCCTATTGGTAGGAGAAGATAACAGAGGCCAACCAGAGAATATTGAGAAGCAAAGCAGCTAGTAAGCCTGATCTTTATTGAACAGTTGCAACAGGGTTCTCCCCTCACACGCAGGAGAGAGGAGGAACCCAGAAAAATGGTGTGCAAGGCCTTATAAAGACTTTTGAAATTGCCACCCTGTAGATCAAGACCACCCCCAGAAACCTCATACATACATCACAGAAGGGGTGTAACCTAAGACCACCCCTCAGATACATCACACCGACATCACAGAAAAGGCGGTCTAAACAGAAATTTGAATGTTGTTTTTCTCCTGTCGTTGTTTATCTCCTGTCTGGCAGGTTACTTGATTGGATTTCCTGGGGAGCCTGGCCAGTCTTTTGTAGTGATAAATACTTAGTTCCTGGGCCAGGTCACAGGCTCACACCCTATTCGAACACAGACATACCCTTAAGACAGGATTTGTGAAGGGAAAGACAATGGGGAGGCTTTTCCACTTTGACCTTGCAGAGAAAACATTTGCTCAGTTTAGGAATCAAAATGGCTTCAGGTCTGTCTTCCTGTGCTGATCTATGTACGTACGTGCGGTTATGAACGTTACCATATATCTAAGACCTCAAAATTTCTATCACAATACCCCCCCTTTGGGGCTAGAATTTTTCTTAAAAATTTTTGCCCCACAAATAATAACATGGTATGTTGTAAATGGATGCCTTTGTGTAAATATATAGGATGTCCCTCTTTTCATTGGAGATAGGTTGGAGGGTATGGCAGCATGGTCGCAATGCTCTTTGAGAACCACTGAGCTCAGGCGTAAATGATGGCAGCCTTGCTATTTATCCACCGCAAAAATAACCCCCTCGTGTCTCTCTCTCTCTCTCACCTGATACCTGCTAGGTTGCCAGGACCCCACCGACAGGTGTCAAGACAGCGCGTGTGGCATCCTGGGGTGCCTGAGGAAGCTGTTTACAGGAGAGTGTGACAGGGACATCGCCGAGGACGAGGCGTCCCCCAGTTCTCCTCCTCCCAGGAAGGAGACGAAGGAGCGCCTCTCCAAGCTCAGCCAGCAAACCTTCTGTGACAGCGACTCCGTGGGCACCTCAGAATCACAGGTGTCCTCGTGGAAAGGCAGCCAGACAGGCGATACGGACGGCAGCGCCTCCAGCACGAAAGGGAGGAAGATGGCGGTGAGGCAGAGGAGCCCCAGGCGCATGCCCTGGATGCCTGAGGAACCATGTCCCCGCTGCAAAGCCAAGAGGACCAGAGAATGGCTGGCCCAGCACTTCTTTGACCCAGAGTGGTGTTCTCCAGGGAAGCGCAACTGATCCTGAGGGGAGTCCCTTCCGGGGAAGGGAGACAATGTCCACACACAACCTGCTTTCGGCCAGGCTTCCTTCAAGGGTTGTTGGCCTGGGCGAGGAGGGTGAGATGGGCGACTCGCACCTCTGAGAGGTGGCTGAGGGCTGAGTCGTGTCAATAAAGCTCCTATACCACATATGCCTGTTGTCTTTGTCCATGGAGTTTTCTTGGCAGGGATACTGGAGTGGCTTCCCGGTTCCTGCTCCAGGTGGATCACGTTTGGTCAAAACTCTCCACTATGACCTTTCCATCTTGGGTGGCCCTGCATAGCATAGCTCATAGCTTCTCTGAGTTATTCAAGCCCCTTCGCCACGACAAGGCAGTGATCCATGAAGGAGAATTATGAAGAATTATGATGCTTTTGTATTCTGGTGCTGGAGGAGACTCTTGAGAGTCCCATGGACTGCAAGATCAAACCTCTTCATTCTGAAGGAAATCAGCCCTGAGTGCTCACTGGAAGGACAGATCCTGAAGCTGAGGCTCCAAGACTTTGGCCACCTCATGAGAAGAGAAGACTCCCTGGAAAAGACCCTGTTGTTGGGAAAGATGGAGGGCACAAGGAGAAGGGGACGACAGAGGTTCAAATCCCTGGCATTGCCAGGTAGGGCTGGTACAAATTCCTGCCCAAAGCCCCAGAGATCTGCTGCCAGACAGTGTAGACAATTTGGAGCTACCTCTGGGTGGGGAACCTTTGGCCCTCCAGAGGTTGCAGAACTACAACTCCCATCAGCCCCAGCAATAATGACCAGTGGCTAGGGATGATGGGCGGTATAATAATAATAATAATTTATTATTTGTACCTCACCCATCTGGCTGGGTTTCCCCAGCCACTCTGGGCGACTTCCAACAAAGATTAAAAATAGATTAAAAGGTCGCACATTAAAAACTTCCCTAAACAGGGCTGCCTTCAGATGTCTTCTAAAAGTTTGGTAGTTATTTTTCTTTGACATCTGGTGGGAGGGTGTTCCACAGGGTGGGTGCCACCACCGAGAAGACCCTCTGTCTGGTTCCCTGTAGCTTTGCTTCTCACAGTGATGGAACTGCCAGAAGGCCCTTGGCGCTGGACCTCAGTGTCCGGGCAGAACGATGGGGGGTGGAGACGCTCCTTCAGGTATACTGGGCCAAGGCCATTTAGGGTTTTAAAGGTCAACACCAACACTTTGAATTGTGCTTGGAAACGTACTGGGAGCCAATGTAGGTCTTTCAAGACTGGTGTTATGTGGTCTCGGCGGCCGCTCCCACTCCCAGTCTAGCTGCCGCATTCTGGATTAGTTGCAGTTTCCGGGTCACCTTCAAAGGTAGCCCCACGTAGAGTGCATTGCAGTAATCCAAGCGAGAGATAACCAGAGCATGCACCACTCTGGCAAGACAGTCCGCGGGCAGGGAGGGTCTTATCCTGTGTACAAGATGGAGCTGGTTGTAGTTCAGGAACGTTTGAATTCCCCGCGCCTGGCATACCTGCACCAGCACTCTGACTCACCTGTGAATAGGCTATCTCTGGAATATCTGGGCCACATCCAGTCACTTGGATAATTCTGCAATTTTGCTGTTTACTACCGTGCCCCGAGGGCTCCTGCGTCCCAGCCTTGCTGATCAAGGTCCACCCATTAATTATATGATTACATCAAGGCAAGCAAGACTTTCCAAGGGAAAGATACTCCCTTATCTGCCAAAGTGCTTCGAACCTTTCGGACGTGACATGGGAATTTAAACACATGCAGCCACTTTGGAAAGGCTTGGACGCAACTTAAATACAGCCTCACCGAATCGTCATTCTCCCGCTTCTGAACAACTTTCCAAATATGAGGCTGTTTCTGCTTCTTGCGGCCCTTGTTGGGGCTTCCCAGGGACTGCAAACATTTGCTGGGTGAGTTCTCCTTTGCACCCCACTATTTCCGGAACGCTTTTTTTGCTGCTTTCGCATCCTCCAACTGCCCCTATTTTCCCAAGAAATTCCTGGAATCACAGAAGCCATCCCAGCTTCTGATCTGATCCTGCAATGTCCTGCAATGAACCAGTGTTGGCTCTGGTGCTTGCAAAAGACATGTGTCTTTTGGTCACGCTCTTCCATGCAAGCCAGCTGACTTGCGCAGCACCAAAAGATGCGCGCCTCCTAGTTTTCATCCGAGGAACGTTGGAGGGTATGTGCTTCTCAAACACTGCAATACCAGCAGACTCTGGGGCTCAGGCTTCCCCTGCTGGCTGATGGCAGTTTTGTAGTTCGTCTAGAAATTGGGGTAAGCTGCTCCTTTAGGGTGTGTTTGGGGCAACCTCAAAATACCTTCCTATGTCCTCAGGAAGATTGCTTCTTGGTTCGGCAAGCATCCGTCCTGATTCGTTTACAGGGACGACTTAGCAAATATCATCTGACACTTTCTGGGGTATTTCCCCAACACTCGCAAAAAGAGGAGGGGGTGCAGGTTTGTTGTGCGAAAGCTCGGAATCAACTCTAGTTGCACAATCTGAATCGCACAACTCCCCCAAAATAATAATATTTATTATTATTGTTGTTATTATTGTTATTATTATTATTATTATGCATATGTGGCTCCGGGGTGCAAAGATCTGCCCGGTGCCCCCTCCCCAGGTTGCCCAGTCCCAGGTGAGCAGGAGGGCATAGCTGGCCGGCCACCTCAGCGTCTTGCTGGCTCGTTCACCCCCGAACTCATGGCAGCAGAAGAGCGGTCCTCCGACCGATGGGCGGGCTCTTCTCCGGACTCAACTCTCGAGCCCCAGACTCGGCCTGGCGCCCCTGAGAACCCCGCGCCCGGGTGCACCGCACCCCTAGCGCCTATGGGTAAGACGGCCCTGAATCTTTGTTTGGAGTTCTGTGCTGCCGTGTGATACCCAAAACCACATGTGGGAGGCAGCGAGGCATTGCTCCTGACACACACTTCAGGTGGTAGACAATTTTGTCTCCCTGGGTTCCACCATAGTTCAGACATGGGTGTCGGACAAAAATGACCCAGGGTACTTTCCCAGAGAGATTAAAGTTTCTCTGTGAGAAAAAGGAGTCTTACACCAAAGATCAGGCATAACCAGATTTATTGTCGAACAGCGATGTACGAGATACCCGCCCCAATCCAAGCTCGTGCTGTAAGGAGGACAGCACACATTCCAGTTTGCATCACATATAATTTATATCCTACTTAGTCCGAAATTCCTTCCTACAATCTCCTATTGGTCAGGAAACTGCAGTTACAGACTTTTCCGATACACCTCCTTCACATTTTCTCCTTGATATGTGCCCCCAACAGTTACATACATCCCATGTCCATTTACATACATTGCATGTTCATGCTAATTAACTTTATCTTCTTCAAGGGCTGTCTTGCCAATATTCATAAGCCTTTTAAGCCTGCGCTAGCCCTCTAACCAGGGACGTGGGTGGCGCTGTGGGTTAAGCCACAGAGCCTAAGACTTGCCAATCAGAAGGTCGGCAGTTCGAATCCCCGCAACGGGGTGAGCTACCGTTGCTCGGTCCCTGCTCCTGCCCACCTAGCAGTTCGAAAGCACCTCAAAGTGCAAGTAGATAAATAGGTACCGCTCCGGCGGGAAGGTAAACGGCGTTTCCGTGTGCTGCTCTGGTTCTCCAGAAGCGACTTAGTCATGCTGGCCACATGACCTGGAAGCTGTACGCCGGCTCCCTCGGCCAGTAAAGCAAGATGAGCGCCGCAACCCCAGAGTCGGTCACGACTGGACCTAATGGTCAGGGGTCCCTTTACCTTTACCTTAGCCCTCTAACCTGTCACTGCCATTTCTAGTTATAGCTAGAAACTATAAATCTGCCAACTCTCCAGAGTCACAAACTACTTCTAACACACTGTTCCTAGTCTAAATCGCACCACTAACAAAGAGAGGAATTTCTAAGGCGTATCTTTACTCCTTCCAGCATCCTTCTGTGTCAGGCGTTTGCCCCTTAATTACAACAAAGAGTTTTACTATGTGTGAACCTTTGAGCCAAAATATTTCTCAGTTTCTCAAGGCAAGACATGGTCGTTCCTGCTCTTATTTATTCATTCGTTATTCGTTTATCCCACAATGGGGCAGGTTTAATAATGCTTATCTTTACACTGCTCTATTGTGCATCACTGACATTGCTGCTGAAATAAAAAAATTAAGGTTTTTTTAATACACACACACACACACACACACACACACACACCTGTATAAAAGATAAATGTTCGTAACTGCATATATAAACCACATGTCTGAAATCCCACAGAAAAAGTCCTGAAACCATTTTGTCCCTCCCAAATTGACCTCAAATATTTCTCTGCAAGGTCAAAGGAAAATGGAAAAGCCTCCCCATTGTCTTTTCATTCACAAATCCTGTCTTAAGGGTATGTCTGTATTTGAACAGGGTGAGCCTGTGACCTGGCCCAGGAACTATTTGTCATTACAAAAGACTGGCCAGGCTCCTCAGGGTATCCAGTCAAGTGACCATTAACAGGTAACCTGCCAGACAGGAGATAAACAACGCACTCAGATTTCTGTTGTAGACCGCCCTTTCTGTGATGTATGTATGATGTTTCTGGGGGTGGTCTTGAGCTACACCCCTTCTGTGATGTATGTATGATGTTTCTGGGGGTGGTCTTGGACTCCAAGACGGGCAATTTAAAATGTCTATATAAGGGCAGGCACACCTTTGTTCTGGGTCCTCCTCGTTTCCTGCATGTGAGGGGAGCACCCTGTTGCAACAGTTCAATAAAGATCAGGCTTACGAGCTGCTTTGCTTCTCAGTATTCTCTGGTTGGCCTCTGTTCTTTTCTCTGACTGATGGAGAACCTGCAAAGGACTCTATACGGGCTCGTGTTCCCCATAAGGGAATAAGGGCAGATTTTTGTTTATTACACTGCCAACTTAGATGAACCATATCAATTTGGTGAGGTTGGTTGGTTGTCCTATTTTGCCAACAGGAAATTAAGGGGCAAAGAGAGCAGCTGGTTTTGGCAGAGCAATCCTACCACATCTGGAGCAAGTGTTGGTGGGGCAGCGGAACCGGTCCAAAGACCTGCAGGCTAGAAGGATGGAAAGACAACTCCCCGTCAGTGTTATGTACTGAAGTTCTCACCCTGGGCCAGCAGGGGATACTGTAGATAGTTATGCAAATGAAGGATCGAAAGTGCCGTTCAGTG